GTATTCTGGAAAGGATATTAATGTATAAATCATGTTTCAGGTGAATTTATTTTTACAAACACTGTCTGCAATTTGATGAAGGAAACTTGATTCAAGGTGCTTCCAAAAAGTTTTTCTTTTTCCTTTCGAATATGTATACAGTTGAAAGGCTTGGTGGAAGAACATGTTACCTTAGAAGGTGGGCAAAGGTTGTTTGGTAAAGGCTAAAGAAAGCTGAATGTTAATAAATTTGCCAAGACCATTTTATATATTTTTATTATTAATGATATGATTTCTTTTATGTATGCTATTTTGTGTCAAAGGATTAAGAGGCTGTTCATGAATAACATAACACAAAGTTAAAATATTTTTAAAACCTATTTCTCCTTGTAATTGAACCCCCTAAATTTTGCCTCAGTACTTGCAGAACACCTTGTAAATGAAAAAACTGAAAATAAATTATAGTTCAGTAAAAAATCATTTCTATCATTTATTTTAATTGTGGTGAATGAATTTTGATAATTTATCCTTATCCGGACAACTGGTGTCAATTAAAACCAGCAGCAAAGTGGTCAATATTTTATGTCAAAAGTATGTAAGGTGTAGAGATAATTTTTGTGACTGCTATTGTTTTTTTAATTGTACCCACAACCATTTAATGCGAGTTACTGGATAAAAAAAATTTTTTTTTTTGCTGTTGCAAGTGGGGTTTAGTTCAATTTTTTGCAAATATGAGAAGTTTCTGTTCAATTTTGCCATGAAATATAGAATTTTTTTCTTTAAGTTTTCACATGTAATGAGGGAACAAAAAAATATGGGGGCTAGTCCCATTTTCAGCTATTGTTCCATTTTTTCGGAAATGTTGGAGAAAACTATTTTTTGCTCTAAAGGAAGTGTGTGGTAATAAAATCAGCTCTTTAAAAATGGCCATGAACAATTTTTTGAGAAAACTGGCAGGTTAAAAGTATATTAAATAGTATGCAATTTCTAAAAATTTTCTCAAAAGCCACTCAATTTTTTTCTTTAAATGTTCTTTTATGTAAAAGCATATGGTAAATAAACTAGTGTTGTAAATGGCACAGACTTTCTGGCACTAGTTTGAGAATTCCAGAAACTATTGAAAATGATTTGAAGCAATTCCAATCACATGTAGAATTAATGAAGATAAATTAACTGGAAGTGCCTGATTTTCAACTTTTCACATGTTGGATTTGTAATATGTATGTATGAACAGATCAGTTCTTATCTTTGTGTGTCTAAGAACCAATTAGGTAAACTAATCAATCTAACATTAAATTTAAATGCAATATGAGTGCCCATCGGACCAACTTGTGATATCCCGAATGGTTCTGAAAGTATTACATTCTTGTTTTACGAATTCTTCGTAAGAAGAGAAACTTACGTCATCTTAGAAAATGATAATTTTCACCAGAAAAACTAATAACAAAAAAGTGGATAAATCATAATGCTAAATTTAGAAAAAATTAGTGATTTCATAGAATGCCGCAAACTTTATCGCTCTATTTCATTTTCTAATCTATTTAGTCTAGACTTGCTTTCCCACCGGGCATTATTCTCTTTCCAGCTACCTTTATTTGTTACCTAATTTTTTTTTTTTCTTCACATGTTCTTAATTTTTCGGCCTCCTAATGCTGGAACTCATACATTACCTAAGGCTTGACTTCACCACTTGGAACTGAGGGGTCACGGGTAGAGTCTCACTCATGGATTTTAATTTATTTTTATTTATTTAAAGTTATGTTTGACAAACTCATAAATTCAAAATGAGACTATAGTACTATGGTAGAGATTTCAAATTACAAAAATTTTTCAAAAACGAATTCTTGAAGAATTTTCTATTCAAGAATGGGATTGATTAAATGTTTCTATTTTCAACTGATTATATAAGTTGCTCATTTGTGACATTGGACTATTTGCTAAATGGGATAAATTCAAACTTTTTTCTGGGGTCTGCAATTTTAGAGCTGACAAGGTATTTCAGGCCACCGATTCCAAAAACGCTGTCAGCTGTAGTTTTGAGGATACAACGAAAAAAACGATTTTATTCACTTTCAGAATCTTAGTTCATTTTGAATTAATGTGTATAGTCTATTTCATTATAAACCGACAATTTCATTTCTTATAATTCAATCCATAATTTATCCAGGTCTCCATTCCTGCACAAAGCAGGATTTCCAGCTCATTCTACCAACAAAAAAGCAACGAGCTACACTAAGTAGCTTTTCGTTTTGGAATTAATTTATTACTCCTGAAGTGAATGGCTTACATCAAACGCACGCTTAGTTTCATAGTTCAAGAAAAATAGAATTCATAAACATGTTATTTTGGTGTCAAGCTTGGGAGATGATATTCACGGAACATTTGCGACAGTGAACAATTAGTATAAGAAGCCTAAAATTTGGCGCACCCATGGTTGGAGGGAGCATAAAAACGTTAATAATTGTTTTTTCTCTCTTGCCAGTTCAACATGAGTGATAATAAACGAAACAATTGTAGCAAATGGACGTGTCCTGACCTAGACTCAGCTAGGAGACCGTTCTACACCCAAATGACGAATCGGTTCCATCATTCCATCACTTCGAGCTCACTAAAGACATCTCTTCAGTCATAGATTCTTGGGAAAAGTGGTAGAAAACGACGTTGAAGTAGCTCGTGTGGTAGACCTACAGACAGCATGATGGTGACAGCGACTCATACGAGCGGTGTAATCCCCATCACCATATACATTTGCGTAAATAAGTGTTAAAATGTAGCGTCTGGCGTACATTTTATTGACGGTGCTGAACGTCATGTGTAGCCGTTCCAGAACAAGGTGCTGTCACAATTTAAGTATATGATTTGGTTACTTTTCTTATAAGTATTTATTTCAACATTATTTTCGTAACCAGAAACACGTGCTCAATGGTACGCAACTTGGCAACGACGCTTCCATCCTCGCAAATGCCAATCACCTGTTTTGAATCAGACATTAGTTGGTAATATTGCCTAGGTGCCTCAGTCCTATTTCGGCTACAGATAGACGGTTTGCTGGAGAGTAACAAGTGGTTTTGAGGGTGATACATGATAACTATTACGTAGCAAAACCATGCCTTACACGTGATTCGAACCTGCAGCCATGTTGTAAAATGTACTAAAGTGAAAATGCCACGACCCCGTGCACCACCCAGACCGGCTAGGGGTGGAAGGTAGTTGAAAGGTGGGTATTACCCAGTGTCTGTGAGAGACACACATCTATTCTATAGGGATTCGAACCCGCGACACGTGTCACCCACACCAGTCGTGCACCTGAACCATCTGTCTCAGACATGCACCACAGCCAAGGATTGAAGGAAAATAAAACAAAATTAGATTTTGCTGTTGCACACATCTTATTGAATTCTTACAATCCTGCGAGTCCATTCAACACTGTCTTTCGCGCGCCTTTGTTGGGAAGCCTGGGGGGAGTCTCACAGCGCCCACACCTTCACGTAGTCCACCTGCAGGGCTGCGTCGTCCCACGCCCAAGTGTCGCGCCAGTTCGCCTTGTCTCGCAGGAAGTCCAGGCGCGACTGCAAACAATGACACATCACATCCGATCCCTCAACTTTCTGCAGTGCACTAACTAGGAAGCGGATCATTGGGGGAAGGCGTAAAAGATTTTTGTTAAATAATAAACACACATATTACTGTAGAATATTTTAAATAATAACCTAATTCTAACAAATGTATAAATCAATTTTGCCAAATTAAAGGTGACAAACAAACAAAATCTCTACGCTTTATGGAGGAAAGAGGGCATACACCCCTCCCTTGGATCCGGCTCAAGGCACTAACGAGGAGATTCAGTTTGAAAAAAAGAATTGGGCAGGATTTTCCGTAATGAAAATAATATAACTATATAATCCAAACGGGGGAGGTGCCTGCTCGCAGTGAGTAGAGAGGTCAATGATGGAAGAGAAGTCTTCGCTCTGTGTCCCGTTTATTAGGGTTACACCTTTATCGGAGGAATTAAGGAAAACTACAGATCAGAGCAGCCAACCGCTAGAATTCTCCTCCAGACAGCCGGAACTCGACACAGCTATGTCGAAAATCCGCCATTGTCAAGACTTGAACCCTAAGACAGCCCGGTCAGATACGTTGTAATACAGAAAAAAAACTGTCTAAGCGGGAATCGACACAAAAATTCTGGTTAAGTGCCCCTTCCCACGGCGCGCTTCTCGGCAGCGCGGCGCGTAGCAGAGCATTGGTTTGAATGGAGGCCTTCCCACGTGCAGCGGGTGGCGGCTGCAGCGACGCCGACTCCAGCCACGAAGAACGAGGGGGGCAGCGCAGCGGACCGCTAGCGAAACAAGCTTTAATGGAGCCTTCCCGCTGGGGCGGCCGGGTCGCTTTGAGTTATCTGCTCTCGGTCCTTTGGTTTTTGTCGTCGCCGGAGGTCTGCCGAGAACCTTACCGCTGCGCAGACGCCACCCTTCCACGGCGGGCGCGTGGCTCCGGCGGTGGCTGCGTCGGAAGGGCTCTGCTGCTTGAAGGAAGCGCGAACGCCGTTGCGCCGTGGGAAGGCGCCCTAAGAGTGCTTTCCGTTTTATGCTAGGTTATCCAGATATTTTTTTTTTCTCGATTTAATCTGGGGTCGAAGCCCGAGCCGCCACTGCTTCCGAAGGGCTCACCTTGACGGCGTTGTTGCGCCAGGGCTTAGGGTGGCCGGCGGAGGAGGAGTTGTCGGGGAAGGCGAGGGTGCCGCCCACGCCCAGCCCCAGCGTCAGGTAGAACTCGCGGTCGAACGGCGCCATGCGCTCGCCCTCCGCCCACGTGGCCGCCCCGGCCTCCTCCTCCGCCGCCGCCGCCGCCCCCGCGCCCAGCAGCTGCTGCAGCCCCAGCGCCGGCGCCTCCACCGCGTCCAGCGCCGCGCCGTCCACCTCCGCCACCGCGCGCTCTGCCACAGCGGAACCGCACCAGCTTATACTTTTACCAACGTGGCGCGCGAGGACCTTCTTCACGGTGGAATATATTCACGGCATTTCGCGTCATTCTCGGTCGGACCGCGAGACACGCAGCACTACTTCATATTGCATCTAGCGGCACGACAGAGAAAAACGTGTGAAATGACGCGAGATCTTCCATCGTGAAGGCAGGCCCTGACGCGCGTGGATTCGCGGTCTTGACCAAGGCCCTCTGTGTGTAATGAGAGAGATCGCGATCATGCGACATCTAACGGCACGATCGAGAAAGTCGTGAAATGCCGTGAGATATTCGATCGTGAACGCAGGCCCTGAAGCGCCACGTTATAAAAACCGGAGGAAATCTACAAAACTCTTACAGTAATTGAGAATAGTTATACTTTGGTTCTAATAAAGTGGCGCGTCAGGGCTGTCTTCACGATACCACCGCGTTTCGTGTCTTTCTCGGTCTTGATCAAGGCCCTGTGTATTAATTGAGAGATACAGAGGGCCTTGTCTTGATACGGTCGCGATCATGCGACATGTAGCGGAATGACCTAGAAAGTTGTGAAACGTCATGTTATTCCACGTCATTCCATCGTTTAAGACAGGCCCTCACTCGCCAATAAATTTAAACTCAAGTATATACTTTGATTTATTCAAGGGTTACCTCAAGGTCAAGTATGAACGAGAGGTGCCAAAACAATACCTACTCTCTCGCCCGTATTTTCATGTAAAATTACGCGGAAAAGCACTCGCTTTCGGAAAAATTACGCGGGCGTTACCTGGCGTCCACGTGAAGCGGAAGGTGTGGAAGTCGGCGTTCCACGCCTCGCCCAGCGGCAGGTCCCGCGCGCGCATGGCGGCGTCCCGCGCGCGCCCGTTGAAGCCCAACTGCAGGCCGGCCTCCAGGCGCCGCGCGCCCACGTCCTCGCCGCCCGCGCCCTTGAGCCGCGCGTTGCCCCGCGACGTGGCCAGCACCACGCGCCCCGACCGCGCGCGCCCGTAGCGCCGCTCCGCCGGCTCCAGGTACAGCTCTGCGCACGCGCAAACACTTGCTCGATTTTCTTATACAAGAGGATTAAATAGAATTAACGTAACTTCATTTAACATATTACTGGTGCTAGGGTGGAACGAAGTGTCAAGGCCAGTCCGAGGGCCGATGGACTGTCAAGTTGAATGGCAGGGGTTGAAATGGAGTGTCAAGACCAATGATAGGGTGCGCGCGCCAGTAGCGCCGCGCCACCAGCTCAAGGTCAGGGCATAGCTTTACGCACTCACCAATACCACTTGCCCAATTTTGTATACAGAAGGATGAAATGGAATTGAAGCAATTTCATTCAAACTTTTACTGATGGTACAGTGGAAACCGGAATGCCGAGCCAGGGTGCTCGGGTGGAAACGGAAGTGCCGAGCCAGGGTGCTCGGGTGGAAACGGGAGTGCCGAGTCCAGTGCTGTGATGTGGAGGGTGGTAGTGCTCACCGGGGTAGAGCCAGAAACCGTCCGGGAGCTTGGCGCGCACCTCCACGGTGCCGTAGCGGAAGCTGAAGCGCTCCTTGCTGCGCACGCGCGCCGACGCCACCGGCGGGAGGATGTTGAAGGCAATGGCGCGCTCCATGCACTCGGTCGGCTCCTCGCCCGTGCACCTGCCAACACACACACACACACGCCTCAGCTCTGTTGCAGCTTTGGCTCACAAAAGCTCACACTCTAGAGAGTGGAAGAAGAAACTGAACAAAACTTAAGTCCGACAATTGATGGAAATAAAAGTATTTTTATCGTTTTTGTAAACATTTATATATGCTGTAAACTATGAATAATTCAAGAGATTTGCGTGTTCTTATTACCCCACAAGATAACACTTCTTTTGTTAACCAACTGGTGAACTAAGGCCGATCAATTAAAAATTCTTAAATAACTTGTAAAATAACACATTATGTGGAACTCAGTGGCGTTGTGAATCTGAGGGAAACGAGTGAGTAAGAAAGACATTACAGCTCAGTGATTTGCAATGCGGTGAAGTGAAGTGTGGTGAAGTGGAGTGGAGTGCTATGAAAGACTTGCGTTAATTTGTAAAGATTGTAAATGTGTGAGGTTGTTAAGTTCTGTAATGTTAAGTTAGTGTATTCTGCCACCAAGTTCTCAAACTAATTGCAGAAATATTAGTAAATCTTATGTTATAATCATTACATAACCCTTTTTCATTTTTAGAGAAAGAGTAAGAAGGAAAATGGGTAAGAATAAGAAGCAATAAAAGAGAATGAGTTAAGAATAAAATAAGGACAGTAAGAGGAAACAACGTGTTTCCTTCAGGTGCTCTATGTATTCGCTGTGCACTCACCCCTTCTTCGTGAGGTCGATGGTGCCCGCTGTGAGGAAGTCGTTGGCAGTGCTCACCAGCGTGGGTTTCAGGAACAGCAGCCCGTCCCGGATGAAGAGGTTCTTGGCGTCATTTGTGAACCAGGCGAACTCGTAGTCCTGTTCAGCAGCACATCACCCGCGCATTAATTATTGGAAAGGGCAATCAAAGCTTAAATAATATAAAAATTACTTTAAAGTTATAATTACTGGTATTATTAAATAAATAATGAGTTGAATACCATCAGAATGTGTCAGTTTATACACACTCACTAAATCGCATTTAAACATTGCTTTCTTCGCTTACTTAACCTAACACGCTTGCTCGCACTTAAATCACTAGACGAACAAACTGACCGCTATCGATAGAACAATTTTCACTCACGCAACAACCCAACTGTTCAAACGATGTCAAATAAGTGTTAATAATTTTAAGATATTATAATTTAAAGAACTATAAAACAGGTAAAGAAGAGCAGGTGATAACACATCTATTATCAGCTACCTTTCATTCAAAGAAAAAAAAATTATGAAATGTGGTAGAGTAGAAAATTAAGACTTTCTAAATGACAATCCTAGTGTTTTAAATATGTACTCTCTTGGAAACCTTAAATTTCACATCGAAAATGTCTTGGCTCGAGAGATTGATGGCGCTGGACATCCCTGCGTGCCGACAGCGCTAGCTAACGTTTATTTTTGAAACTATGTTCTATAGATCGAACATTGAAGATTGAATTTATTTTATTGAAGAGCGTATACAATACTTTTACATCCATAGAGAGCTAAGTAGTAATAGTACAGAGGAAAAAGAGTTTCGTGATTCCTGCCCATGAAACTGAAATGACTAACTTTTCTAAAGGTAATGCTGCTTTCAAGTTTCGTTAATATGAAATGTGTTAGTAAAAACTGTATGTGACGTAGGGGGAGAAGACACCTGCGTAAGTTTTCTTGTGTTCCAGAATCCCTTTCCATCATTTTAACTATAAATAGTTGAAATATAAGTAAACGTTCAAGATAAATAAAAATAAAATTAAAAAACGATACTAGCAACATTTGAAAACATTAGACATTTTCATGTTAATAGAAAACTAATTTGTAACGGTAAACAAACTACAGATTTGATTTTTCTGCATTGATAACCAAATAGTAAGGCACCCTTACCTCTACTCCTCCCACTACAAGCAAAAGGAGAGTTGAACAAAACGTACACGTAGTGAAGCTACATTTACAGCCAGAAGCAACACAAGGGACCATCTCAGCATTTGCTCAATGTATCAGGGGAAACCGTAAAAACCTGATCTAGTTGTAGAATCTACAACAAAAATCTTCTAGTGGCGTGAACAGAAAGCACCTGTGATTCCCACAAACGGACGAGGAAATAGTGAAGCACGTGGCGCTGCGTGCGGTTGAGAAATATCGCGAAGGAAAATGGTGAAGCACCTGTTGCTGCGTGAAGCCGAGCGTCATCCTGAACGGAAATGGTAAATTCAAGTCAGGGGCGCCGAGTGAAAAGGGTTTTGTGCAGTAATGACAAATTTGACACAAACATTGATATTTTGAAACATCACTAAGAGGTTTTTGATGTCGATGAAAACATGGACAAAAAATATTGATGATTATCGGTGACTATCGGTGTTGTAAATATGATAAAACAGCTTGTATTTTCCCATCCTATTCCCATTTTAATTATACTATTTCAATGAGTTGTATTTTATAGTTTGGTCACATCAATAAAATGTTAACACTTAATCATCATCCAGTATAAAGGAGGAAATAAAAATAAAGGGGATCGTGTTTTGCTATTCTTGCATTTATTCACTTTCATTCATAAATTATCGAAGTAAAACGTCTTGGATCTAATGTGATACATAATACGTAAATATTAGTTTTATGTATGAACTGCGATAAATCAGTCATTTTAATTTTAATCAATATTATAAAATGCCGTGTAACGATACTACCACATACAAAAATCATACAAAAAGATAAACATAATTATAAAAATACACGAATCATAATAAAATGTTGGAAGATGGTTCTTGGATAAAAACATTTTTATTCTTCTTAAATAATTCTTTAACGTACCTACACGTGTACTGGAATATTAATGAAGATGCACCGCTTGCTTCACATTGACTCAACCACCATTCAGTCAGTTCGTCAGACCAAACATTTTACACGAAGCTAAATGCATAAAAAACTGGAACCTATTCACGCATTTGAAATAATTTTTGAAGATTTCGAGCCGATTTCTGACTGCAAAATGTCTTAATTAAAAACTAGCTCTAATAAACCAAGCAAATATTTCCTCTCATAAAATAATCATTTATTTTAGCTTATTAAGATATTTTCATTTTCCCTGTAGTAAACATTTCACTCATATGGTGAACATCTGGCAGTCCCATGATAATTTTATACGGATAGTAAATATAGTTTTGGGTTTATTGTAATCTAGTTATGGAAAGATTCTCTTTTCGAGGGAGTCAGATATGGTTCGCTGTTATTAACGAAACAAAATATTTTAAATAATTAGTTTCGTCATTATGTCTGCCCATCTGCAGTTATCTACATCAGATATTGAATAAGATTATTATATTATGACAATCGTTTACTTTTCACATGAAACACAATAGACCTGTTAAAATTATAACCAGGACATTCTGGAGAAACACCAAAAATAACAGCAATGAAATCTCTCCGTCTGGTCATTGACAACAGTGATAGATGACAGTGACTGTTGGTTTTGAGCAATTCACAAAATAATTAGTTACTTGAAATCATCGATATTTCTGTAAAAATATATCTATGTGACGAAAACATCAAACACAAAACCATCGATATTTCTGGTCAAACATATAGACGTTTTAAAACCGCACTCCCAAGACTTGAAATTCCATGCGCAACAGAAATAACTTACAGTGATTAATTTGAATTTAAAGTAAATAGAGTACAATTTTTAAATTTTTAATGAAAAATGTTCCTGGGTCCGAATTCAGCCGGCCGCTTAAACAACCTGCCCAGCTTTTCTCTCTCCCCCTCACCCATGTGGGCACCCCAGCATCGATGCTCCCTCCAGTCGACAGGTTGACGACAACAGCAATGACTGAAAGATAGTAAAAAAAAAAAAGAGGAAGAGCGTACCGGATATCCGGCGATCTGCAGGTCCGGGCGCCAGCGCTTGGGGTTGAGGGCGGGGCCGTCGAAGTTGTCCTCGAAGATGAGGCGGCCGCTGCACTGCGGCTGCCCGTTAGCCGTGGTGGGCGACGGCCCGCACGCCTGCCGCGCCGCCCGCGCCCCGAACCCTGCGGCACAAGAGGCAACCCTCGGCACCCGCCCACCCTCCTGGCCGCTCCGGGACGGGGCCGACTGGGGGACGCTGCGTTCCAGGCAGTTTATCGGCATTTCGGCCCTTAAACTGTGACCTTCTAAGGGAGAAGTGGGAGGAAGGGGGCCTTATCTCACGTAAATCTGCACAGGCAACATTGCAAGTGTTATGCGCGGAGAAAGTAGCAGTATAATGGCCGAAATGTTAGCAACTGTGCCTAGGACGCACCGTCTTCAATATAGCTATGAATCTTATTGGCTACAGACGCGGAAGTCCACTTTCTTTTAAGTCTCATTTTTAGGTGGGAGAGGGTTCCCACAATTGCTACAGGAGCGAGGGAGACGTAGGACATCCCACGAGGGGACAGTTAGGACAACGAACCGGTGTCCTGACTTAATTGATCACTTTTTCCTTTTAGAACACAACAAAATTAATTTAGTTCTAATTCAATTGATCACAAAAGAAGGCTCCGAAGAAGATTAAAACCAACTCTCAAATAAAGAAAAAAAGTAATATTTTACGAATGTGTGCATTTTGTATAATTTATAATAGATTGTAAGAAAAATGTGTGAAATACAATTTAAAGAAGTTAGACAAAATTAAATTACTTCTATAAAAATATGTTTGAATAAAATTGTTATTTAAGACACGAATTTCCTCCTAACACCGCACCAATTGAGCTAGGTATCTAGCAAGTTTGTAAAATAACACTACCATAAGACTAGAACCCTGTAACGTCGGGCCAGAGGCTAAGCAGCGAGATCAGCCATCTTCATCGACTACGACATGCAAAATTTCTGGTTATCCATATTTTGAACATTGGTTGGTTCACACAGGAAAAGTGAATATTCTGGAAGAGACACGCTGCTTAACCTTCGCCAGCGCATCTCCGCTTCCACCCCGCCCCGCGCCGCCTCCGCGATCAGCTTCTCCTCCTGGCTCGCGATGCAGCGCCTTCGCTGCAGATGCACGAGCAGCGACCGGTTCTCGCAAGGCCGCCAGCCGAGCCGGGCGCTTCTCGCTCCAGGATGCAGCGCAGGTGAGGGGGGGACAAACATCAATTGGGTCAAATTATGGAATTTTGTTTTAAAGAAGTAGATCACACCTTGCTCTTTACATATTACAGTCGTCTTCAATAAGGGATTACGCCAGGGCGCCACTACTCGCGGATTACATTACGCCAGGGCGCCACTACTCGCGGATTACGCCAGGGCGCCACTAATTAGGGATTATATTTGGGTGCGACTAACCAGGAAAAACTGAGGTGGAAAACCAGTACTGTTATCTTTACAATGAAATTACAAAATGGTATATGTGGTTTGGTGTGGGAAAATATATGTTTTTATTCAATAACGATAACAGGGTATTTACTTAGTTGAAATTGTGAACAAAGTACTTGTGAGCGAAGGAAAAACGATTTAATCGCGGCGAGGACGAACTGTCAGCTTGTCCTTTTCTTGTGCTAATTGGCGAAAACCCACAGCGCATATGCCGCAAAAAAAGGATTTTTTTTCAATGGTACAGGGAGTCCAGCACAAGGAAGAATATCATTCTCTCTTGAAGTGCTATCGACACTCACCCCGCAAGCCGGCATGAATGTCGGCACCGGATCTATTCCAGCGGAGGAAGAATACCACCACCTCCCGTAATAAAAAACGCACTACACTTGTGGGACTAATGAACATAATTGACTCGCGTGGAAACAATCAACCCCTTCAGGTATTTCCGCCAATGGGTTCCACCTCAGTCGCGACAAGCTCTAAGCTTCAAACTGAATTCCTGTCACGTGTTTACTGCGCCCTCTGTGCTCGATTTACGGGGAGTGGAGGGAGGATTAAGGTGGACAAATATTCGTGAACGGTCCATGGCCCCGCTTAAAAACACCGTTCCTGTCACCGCAGAACGTCATCGGTAGAAATCAACGGCGGACGCGATAATAAATTACAATACAATTGAAGTAGAAACGTATTTTGTGTGAGAATTAATTATTTGTGCATTTTGCAATATCTTACAATCAATCCTGTATTTTCTGTTAAAATATTTTGTTTCTAACCAATGGTAAGATTATAAATATTTTGAATATTTGCGGTACGTGTGTTCTTTCCCGCTGGGACAAAGTCACGACATTTTTTTGAAGAACCAGTTCAACCAAGTTGCTCAGAATCCACAACTGCTCTCAAAGTCGTCAGAACAGATCTAAAACGGTATTTTATAATGAAACATCAACATGACTGAAATATTGCATTAAAACTGTTTGCTGTGTAAATGTAAGTATGAATTTATTTACGTTATACATTATAAGTAACACATTTGTGTATTATAAGTTATACATTTGGTATTCAAATAAAGGGCCTATTACATCTCTTAAATTTTCACTTATTTTATGTTTTAAGATTAGGTTTTTATTTTTTATTTTGTATGTTGACAAAAACTTTGCAAGTTTAAAAAAAATAGTTTTAAAAAGCATGCCACACACAAAAAATACTACATAGAAGTTGACAGATGAATTATAAACCCAATATTACTAACCATCAGAGCTGTTTATCGGTGTTAGTAATTACAAGAATGGAAGTATTATTGGTGTTAGTAATTACATTATTAGTAATTACAAGAAACTACAATGTACATTATCTACATAGTCTCTAAAACAAGATGGGAATATATATTATTAATATTATATTATTATTAGTTAATTATTATTAATATTATTGTTATTATTTTAACGTGTTTATGGGCCGGCCTGGCTGTACACAGAGTTTCCACGGAGTGATTAAGCAAAGCGACGGTTTTGAATTTTTTAATATACACAAGATAAGCGATTAAGTATCGCCTAGGATTAGGAAAGGTTCTAATAATGAAAGTTCTAACAATTAAACAGTCACTATCTAAAAAAAAAAATTAAAAAAAGAATTCACGCTGAAATCCATCGTTACTCCCCCTCCACCTCCTTTGGTATGCGACCTTCAGGTTCTGCTTCAACATTCGGGTGGTATTTTTCAGAGAAAATTCGGAATATTAGTTAAGTATAGTTGCCCGAAAGAATTCTTTTCCAGACAGCGTCCGAATCCGATCTAGTTATCAAGCTAGAGTCCACCACAGTAGTATCACCATCCAACCACTCTATTTCCGTGTCTCTCGCAATGGCCCTGAACTTGACTTAGCCAAGTTTGTGTCAACACTAAAAATAAACGCACGAATACACCTACACACACACACACGCGCGCGCGCGCGTGATGAAACACAATAACAGTCTTTGCAATCAAACAAAAAAACTGCACACTGATTATTTTTGCCCTTACCGTCATCCTCTGGCAAAGTGTTGCCCATGCATTCCTGCCATGGCACCCTGCAACAAATAAAATTGCTTAATTATTCTTAAAGAATTTACTTAACTATTTTATAATTAACATCTTCTGTGTTTAATTGAGGGGATTCTGTTATTTATGTGCTCGAAACAACACTTTCAGCTCTTCTTATCACTAGTGATTTTCCAAATTGCAATCCAGCTTATTCGTTTACGATTGCTTCGAAAAAATTACTCTCGAGGTGGAATTTTATGCTAATCTTAATCTGAGGCGTTTCAAAATTCGTCCCTCCGTTCTATTGACATATTCCTGTCTTCATATACTGCAAGTGAGCCATTTAGGGTTGACGATGCTAAAATTAGAAACAAAACAAAAATTACATTTTATCTGAATTGAACAAGCGAAAGCTCCGGTAAGAAATTTCATGACCACCGCAAGCAAATCAGTAAATATTTTCGCTGAACTTCATTAATGTGTAGTACCTATGTGTCAATTTTGAAATGCGCATGCATCTGGAACAAATTTTCTCTTACTTGTAGGTTGCGAGAGGCAAAATAGAAATTTAAATAATAACAACAGTAATACAGCATTTGGTAAAGTACAATTTATTCTGAAAAGTTCTTTTTAATTAAATGTAAACTGTCCATTTAAGAAATTAAAACACCCTTTTCCCGTTTGAAGAAACTATTTTAAACGCCTAAATTTGACGTTCAAATAAATTTATACATAAAAACGTTAAGGCCGTCAAAGTACTCCCTTTGGCTGGCCAGGGACACTTCAGCGTTTCTTCTAGCTTTCAGTTGCCCTCTGAAGCTCTGCTTTCGGAATTGCCTGACATTCTATGTTCGTAAGTGAAAACGGCGATATTTCAAGGTGTATTTAACTCTCGTAAATTGGATAATGTCGCCTGAAGCCACATGGAGAATAGGGAGGCTGCGGGATCACTGTTGTGCCGTTTTCGCCAAATACTCTGACAGAAGGAACGAGGTGTATACCAGCTCGTAGTCATGGTGAAATTTTAATTTTCGCTCTTTCCACAATTCAGTTCTTTTCCTCATTAAAGCGTTCATTAACGCTTCAAAACCAGGACCTAATATTTATTATCAGATTGCCCTTTAGGATCGTATTGATAAATAATTCGATCTTTCCAGACGAAAAAAAACACTGAGTTGACTTTCAAATTGCACCGAGACTTTTTTTGGTCGGGGAGAGAATGATGTTCTTTCCGATTTAAAACGTTTATACCCCTAAAATCACTGGAACAGTTTCAAATTCGTATCCAAAGTCTTGTTGAATCAATATGACAGCACTTTTGCGAATATTAAAACTAAAGTTACGCACGCAGCTTTATTATGCACCGACACAACAGTATTACCGCAGGTGGTGCAGGCTCAGTCAATCTCTGTCGCGTGGCTTCAATACATCGCAGTGAGATGCAGTAGGCGGAGTTTTAGTTGTCATGGACACCGCGAAGTGGCACAATGTCTCGCTTGGGTCCTTCGAACGAATTGTGAGCCAGGAGATCAGGCCGGCCTTTTTAATTTTTTAACACACACCTTGTACAGCTGACAAGCAAGATTGTATCTGCGCGCTGTCACCGTGTTGAGCAGTTAAAAATTGATCATACATATGCGCACGGGTGTCTTTATTTTAATTTTTTTTTTATTTTCACCCGCAACTGAATTGTTGTAACTTGAGTGTTGAATGTTGAAATTATTCGAAAGTCGTTCAAGATATTGTATTTTCAAAAGACAGTTGTAGCAAATACTCCTCTTCATCGTTAGAAATCGAAAGAACGACGAAAGAAAAGTATGGAAGGAATCACTTTTAGTAAAAGATTGGAATCCCACTTCCCAGTTTGGATTCATTATTTTACAAATTTTTTTCTTTCATATTTTTGTCAATGTTTAGTTATAAATTTCTGTTACTATCAATAGATTTACAATTTTAATCTTTATTTTCATTATACAAATTATTTGACTACTATATCACTCTCCTGAAAACTGTATACCATTTGCAACCAAGACATTACAGTCCGTGAAACTTTGCGTTTTATTGTGTTGACCGCGTCAACTTCGCTGAGCCAACAAAGAGACATGAATTTGATTGAAAATAGTTTTAAAATTTACTTTTTAATATAATATATGCTTTCAGTATGAATATAATATACTTATTGTTACATAAATCATGCATAATTGTGGAAGTACTTTACATGAAGTGGTGAGGTGAATGGATAAAAATAAGAACTGTATCAGTAATATTTTATAAATTCAGGAAAAACTGCGTTTCTTTTTAGCTATATTTCAGTGGCAATATATTTTCGTGGTTTTAATGAATTAAAATTCCGTGGTTTTAGTAATGAAATAAAGCACGACTTTACACTAATATTAACTTAACAGATTTCACGGCATTTATAAAATGTCACCTACACTGTTCTGGTTTTCCTCCATTCATATCAAGCTCTATAAGGCTAATTTTTATTAGCAATTAAAGTATTACTATTTACTATAGTATTTCACAAATAATGTCAAAATAATAATATATTAATGTTTAAGGGGAAACGGTACTATGAAATAGGTCAAATTGTCGATTTTGTGTTTTTTTCCTAATTAATAGCTCAAACCTTTCCAAATATATTGACACTTTTCTTCTAGGACGCCTGGAAGCAGCCCTGTAACTCTTATTTAAATGTTCTAGTACATACGAGTCACGCCCCCTTTTTTGGCACTGCATACAAGTATGTGCAGTGTATGTGCAATTTTTCGTAATTTTGAACGCATGTTCGGTTGTTAAGGGGTTAATGAAACATTCTCTTGATCTTATTTGGTAGCATTGGGCTTCTCTGCTAAAGAAGATGATCCAGAATTCAGAACAAAAATGTTCTAGTAGAGTAGCGGAAAGTACAGACGTTTTTCAAATGGGTTTCCCGAAAATGTACTCATTTTGTAATTAATATACCTTTTCTCAGACACTATTATTCACAATTTATTGAAATTTAAAGGAAGGAAAGGAAAACTTCGTTATAGTAATATCAATAAATTGACATTTTTAGAAAAAACTTCTTTTGTAATAAATATATTTAAAAAATAATGCTCCAAAATGCTAAAACAAATTAGTGCAAGAGCTATATTTTGAAAAAAATGGGTTGTACACGGTACCGTCTCTCCTTATGCATTTCTTAAATGGAAAAAAAATATGTAGAAGTTCGTTTAAAATGTAAATGAATGAACTATTCAATTATTTATCACACCTAAGAGAAATATTATCCTTTCTGAAATGGTTAATTTTGAAGTAAATAAATGAAATAAATTATTTATTTGTAACAAATTAATTGCGTACCTAATAATTATAAATGCCCCCAAAACATATCACACCAATGACTTCTAAACTTCATTATATTGAAATGCAGTTTTTGTCAAAATATTCTCAACTATGGGGGAAGGGGGGAAATACAATACTTCGAGGTATTGTATGTAATGTTTTTATTTTGAAAAAATGGAATTCTTTATGATTGAATAAACAACTAGAACAAAAAAACAGCTTGAGATAAAGAGCTCTTCAAAAATCGAGAATGAGTTCAATTTCGCTTGATTTCTGTTTAGAAAAGATAAATAGATTAATAATTTGTAGCAAGATAATAGCATTAATATTTTTGGGAGCCTCTTAAGCTTTCCTTTGGGTCCATAAGGAGACAATTGAAAATTTACATAGAAATGTATTTCAAATTTCTTGTAACGGAGGGAGTATTTTGAAATTAGAATAAGCACACATGCACAAGTTTCCTCGATTCTCGGAAAGCTCCGCTTAGGGCCAGATTTCCTGATATTGTGACCATCGTCAAGTCTTCCTCCCTCGCTGAACCTCTCGCTGGCCACGCGGAAAACGCGTGTGGGAAGTATGATTAGATGCTTCTATCACGCCAAAGATCCTGAGCTATAGACGTTTCTTGGGAGTCTAAGAAGTTTCGACGCTAGTCAAGGCAGGCCGGGGGAACGATTTACAGGACTCCTGAACCAAACGAGGCGTGCTTCCCCGCCAGCCAATCACAATATCAGACTAATCGCTTGGCGGGTACTCCCAAAGCTCGAAGTACAAAGCTGCTAATTGTTACTCTTTCTCACTTGCAGTACAAAGTTATTATTTATATTATTTTTGGACATTTGTGTCAAAACGGCATTCAAATGAGGTATTATAACTATTTCTAAACTTTAATACATTGACCTTCTCACTTGCGTTACAAAGTTTAAGGTTTTAAATATTTTTTTTATCATTCATATGAAAACAGCTTTCAAATGCGGTATTATTACTTTATTTCTGAACTTTAATTCGCTGCACTTTCTCACTTCCATTAGAAAATTTATATTTTTAAATTGTTCTTGCTCCTTTGTATCAAAACGGTATTCAAATTAAGTATCATTATTAATTTATTTCTTAATTTTAATACGAATATAAATATTTCTTGCAGATTCACTGCATTGTTCATTTATTTGAAAAATGGATGTTGCGGAAGAAAATTTAATTGGCATTTTTTTTCGATTTGCAATTTTCAGAAGTTGAAAAAAACTAATTTCTACAGCGACTTGAAATTTCATTTCCGATGTATTTTCACTGCTAATGTTCTGCCAACCCAATCTCCAGGAATAATTCTTTACATTTTAACATGATCAATTTAACAGATAACAAAACGCGTCACTGAATATTCTTAGTGCGGGCTTCTTCTGTTACACCATTTTCCCCAATATCTTTCTTTTGACGAATCTTTAACTTCGTATACTTTGCCAGCAAAAAAAAAAAAAAAACCGATGACAATTGCGCAAATTATGGACAGTGCAAAACTTGGTACCACGGAGACTTCAAATGGGAGTTAACAACAATACGATACAACGATCTTGACTACTAAAAGGTGCTGCCTTCATTTTCACAAAAATAGTTTTACCAAACTCAACCAATACATCGGTATTAATGAAACAAACACGGATCGAAATGTAACACAAAACCTTTTGGTACGGAAACTAATTGTTACAAAACATCGTTATTTTAATTTCTGTAGTATTGCTCTTTGCGCCGTCAACATGCAGTTTTCCTGATGTGGATTTTACCAGTTTGCCTCATATTTGGATAGAAAATGTCTCACTTTCCTTCTAATGCTATCTTCAGATTCTGTTTATTTGCCATTTTCCTTTTTGATGCTTCAAAAACATTTGAAAGGATTTAGATCCCTAGATGGGAAGCAGTTGATTTCGAACATTGTCCAGTTATATCTCTGAGACCCTTCAAAACACGCACGATGCTGTACTATCAACTGTCTCAGGAACCCTTCGATAAAGGTCACACGCTATAATTTATTTTGCTCAGAGTGGCCGATACTATGACCCCTCCAAAATATTGATGTACCTTCCTGAGACATCCTGCATGTTAACGATTCTCGGCTTGGGTTGTACGATGCATTGCAGTATTTAAACTTCCTTCAAATGTAAACATTCAATAAAGCTCGAAATATTTATGCGAAATACATCTGCCTCCACTTGCGCAAGTTACACCTGTGGTCGAGACAATCATTTTTTTTTAGAAAAGAAAGATATATCGAACACCAGACAGGTCATCACACATCAAACTATACGTACTGGTGCAAATTTTTAATTAAAAATTAAGAGAAGCACAATGGAACGATTGTCCCGGGTACGATTATCCTACGTCATCCTCAGTTGCATAATGAAAAAAAAAAAATAACAACGGAAAATAAAATTGTAGCAGAACCAAATTGTTGATTATTATTTAAAGTATTCCACATGGTAACAAGTTGTAAGATTTGGACTGAAATATTATTATCAATTTCTTACTCGACTTCAAATAAACACATTCGAATCCATAAAAATTATTTTTGATACAAGTGATTAAAGTGACCTTTTATATTGCGAGTAGGAAAGGTTAAGGCCCGAGGCCGATCGGCCGAGTGGCGTAATCCCATGAGCAAAATAAAAGACTCACCACTCGTGAGTCATCGCTACTTTATAGACCACCTAAGCGTTTTCATTTAATTTTAATTCTAGAATACAAATATTTAATGATAATTTATGGTCAGTACAAGTAGTAGCTGATATGGTCAGGCAAAATATTTTGTTTTCTTTGTTGCGTTCACAGATTTATGTGAACACTCTAGCATCATCTCAGTTTTAGTGATAACGTGAAAATTAACGTTTAGCACGTTATTCATACCCTAAAACTAACAGCTTTTAATAGGAACTATCTAAAAAAATTACGTTAATCCGGGGACTGATTTTTAGAGGACCATTTTCCATGTCATTACCCTGGAAAATAGACTTACTTTCGCTAACGGTACAAGACTAATATTTATTACATTGAAGAAAAATATTGCAAGTGCCAAAATTGCAAGATGTGCAAGAAAATTGAAAGTGCAATATCGGACCAGATAATATATACAAATTAGAGGAATGTTACAAATATGAAACGAGAAAATATCAATAAAACAAATCAAGAATTAATAATAATTATTTTAAAACAAATCCAAATTCCGAACTTACGTTCTCATAACGTGAAATTAATTGTGTTAAGATGAAATGCTAAGCTGAAACAGAGCACTATCATGACAGGGAAACGAAAAGACCTAATGAGCTTGCGGAAACGAGATAATATGAACGGCGGCGGCGACGAAGTAGATGGTGAGGATGGAAGTAAGAGTTTTCGAAAGCTTTTGTTTTTGTGGAGATAGATTTAATGGAGATTGCATGAAGATGGAACCCGGAAAACACAACTTAAATTCAATTTAACTGCAAGAAAAACAGTGCTGGGTCAGAACTTTGAACAAGAATGTATAGAACCAATTCATTGATTGTTTTGCCCTCTTCGAATCTCATATTCAGATTACCATTAAATTATTATGACGTTTATTTACTAAAAGAGACGAACAACTAAACAATTTTATACATGACTAATTTTCTTGCTCAACATTTCAACACAATTATATACATGGCAAATTTAATGACGTATTTGTTTTAAAGTCCATTGAAATCAAATGTTTCAATGATTTACAGGTCTAGAATTAAGACAAATGATTGATCATTACAGAACTATTACAAAAAATACATTTAAACAGTTCATAAATATAAGAAAGAAAAAGGAATGAGGCGAAGCAGTTGTACTCACGAGGCGACAGTGGCGTAGAGGAAAAGCAGCGTAGCGGTGAGCATGTTGGCGAACAGACTACGGGCGGCACCGACGGCTGCGGTGTCTTGGCGCTGCAGGTGGCCTTGAACAACTGCCCCCTCTCCCCCCCCCTTCGCCACTTCCCCTCGGCGTATCGTCTTCCGCAGACGAACCTGTCCCACGAAGAGTCCGTGGCGGGCCCTGACCTCACCACGCTCGCTCGCTCTGGGGGAAAACCGGCGGTTTCTGCTGCGGCAGCGTTCACTGAGACGTCAACACATTGACAAACTCAGCGGATGTGGCGGATCTAAAGCGGGCAATGGAGCCCTTGCCGGCCTCAGAAGCACACATTTTTACTTTCTCATATATGTATGCATGTAGAGTAATATATAGTACAGAGAAAGTTATGTAATGAAAATTATGAAAATGCATTTTAATAGTTCAACGTAAATACACACATTCGGTTTCTCTGATACCGAGAAAGTGTGATTTTCAAAATGTCGTTCTGTCCGTCGTCTAAGAATAACACTAATGCCTAAACTTTTCCTAGGACTTTGTTCCAAAATCTTTATTCTCCGATCGCTCGGAACCGATTCAAACACCTACGAGTTTTATTAATTTTTTTTTTAAATTTTGTGGGTATTTCATATGAAGCATATGGGATATTTTCAAAATTTTCTCGAAAACGATTCCAAATTGTTCAGTGAAAATTTTGTGCACAAAACCGAGTTTTACTTGCCTATATTATTATTTTTATATTATTGTACTTTGATCAATTATACTTATACAGAACTAAAAATTGAGAAAACGTGGAAGATGTGTTGTTTTGAAAATACACTAATTTCTCGAATTAAATATTAAATGAAAGTAAACCAATCCATTTGAAATTGATATTATATGCTGTAAATAATACGTACAACTTTTTCGTAGTGTTAATTTTGAGAAAATTGTTCATTAGTGAGAGCGATGTTGATAAATTTTAATGCTAAAGTAACTGTATTTTCATTGTTGCTATGGAAAATAATGGTGTCAAAATTATTCAGATATATAGGTTGAAAGAACTTAAAAAGGCTGCATATTCTTAAAAAAGTTCACGTTTAGTGAATTTATCAGTTTTATCAAATTATTAATTAACCTTATATATTATATATAAGGTTAACACGTTTACAAATAGTCGAGTAATTTAATTTTGTGAACATTTCAGTCGTGTAATTCAGCCTCATGAGTTGGTGCTGTGAACCTGTCGCAGGTACCATGAGAAACCTCTGCAAGTCTTAGGCGGTCCAGTTTTCGTGCAGATTCTCATACAGAAACATCAAGATCTCAAAATAGAAGTACACGAATCCAAAAGTCGTGTTTACACGGTCTGCAAGTTTTCTGCACGAGTTTCCAAGAGACGCCACCAGGGGCATAACCGACACACAAATGAATTGCGCCGTCCGAATACATTTATTCGCAGCCTGTGAGTAAGTATGTTCTCAGCTTGTTTATTATTACATTTTTAAAGTATTATTGAAATGTGGGACACAAAAATAGCAACATCTGTATCTTTGTCTGCCTGTAGGGGACAAAGCTGTAATGGATGGCCACAAAAGATGCTCCAAATTCAGGAACTCTTGACTACAGTTGCGGGATTCAGTAATCTCGTAATTGCGTGTGACAGTGAAATGAACTCACCAGAAGGTCGAGAATTCGAATCCCCCACGTCAATACACAAAATCTCACGAATCACACCCAAGCAAACCACAAAATTGAAAAGGATGGGCGATTTCCTCCGTAAACAAAACCGTTAGTGCACGATTCTGCTACTAGAGTAATAGAGGTTAGCCACGAGGTGTAAGTCTTTGAGTCAAACTGACTCCTTTCTATATGAAAAAATGGAACAATGCGCATACGTTTCCATGCAGAAATCGAGTACTGCACGCTTTTCGTAAGTTTAATGCATGATTGGAAAGGTTTGTATCCTCATCATGAGTCCAATCTGCACGAAAACTGTACCGTGCAAGAACATCTTTAAGCGCGCCGATAGATAGCAGGTGGGTAGGAAGCGGGGCAAAAACAAATCCCGGTTTCAAACTCACGAGAATCTACCTAGTACGAGAGAGTCTGTGACATGCTTTAGCACCACTGATTTACTTCCTCATATTCTCATAGCAAAGGTTGTGAAATGATACAGGAGAATCGATATCGAGATTTCGACTCTAATACACGTTTTAGTGATCCCTGATAACAAAAAATGATTTTTACTTACATTTCTATCATGAAAGCTGACCAGGATAGCCGAGGTGGTTAGAGCGTGTGCTGATTTAGCAACTTAATCGAAAGGGTCGCGGGTTCGATTCCCACCGTGGCCATAGTTGTTTGTCCGTTGTCTCTCATGTATGTGTTGTCGCGGAAGGCCTTGTGAGTCTGCTGATCACAGACCGAGGAGCCTGCAAGTGTGTCAGTGTCTAGTGTAAAGGTTAATGTGTGTCCTCATTAGGGACAGTAGGTTCCCGACACGGATAGCCAAAATCGGCATTTTCGGAAGGGGGTCAAATCCTCCGTAAGAAAGAAAAGAAATATACATACCGCAAAAATGTTCTGTGGTGCTTGAAAATTGATGAAAACTTACAAAACGTCTGTCAGCCGGTCTGTTAACAACACTAAGTTAGCAGGCTGAATAAGTCCGTTCTCCAAAATTAATGTTAATAATCATAGACTGAAAGCCCTGCGAATTTGAACAAACTGCTTCAGATGTCTCTAAATATTTCTATTCCAAAATTTCTCATAATGTGGGAAAAATTTAATTTTTTAAATATTACACGTATGTATTTTTACTTTCTCACAACTATGTAGCGCAGACAAAGTTATGTAATGCTGCAGTGAACAACGTCGATTTCTCGACACATACTCATTTTGTGAGCTCCTGATTCTCAAAACGTGAATAATTCTTCCTCTTAAATGTTATAATGTCTTCTTCTAATACGATGAGTGATCAGAAACCACGTTGGTCCTTGTTTCACAAAAATTGGTCTGCGAACAAACGCTAACTGATATGTGTTAAGAATTTTCACCAAAACTGTTACGTCCCAATCGATGTGGCAGATATCGCGGCCTCTTGAGTTTAAAACGAATATTTGACTTTTGAGGGTACTTATTAAATATTTTATTCGTGAAGAAATGTAAATATTAATGAAAGAAATATATATTCTTATGAAAATGTCGCAGACATTATTTTCATTGAAATCTCTAAATTTCTGAATATTGTATCAGCAAAATATTTTTAGATTCCCTTCCTTCTTATTAAAGATAAATATTTTTTGTAAATGAAATCTGATCTTCAAAAATTAGGTCTTAAGTTAAGCTAGTGTACATATTTTTCAAATTATTAATAATTTCACGTAATTTTAGTGAAATCCTGACAATTTATAAAAATCTTAAATAATATTATATTAAAAACAGCGCCATTTTTCTTTATTTTTTTGCTCAAATAGATAAATCTTCAATTAATAATATAGCAGAAACCTCTTCAATAAAAAATCTGTAATTTATAAAATGAAAAATGTCCAATTTTTTCAGGCTCCAGGACAAGTTAGCCATTGCTTATGAAATAAACGTGAATAATTTCTAAGGGTTAATCACCAACCACACCCACCCACCAATTTGGTATCAATGAGTGTTATAAAAGAAGCTCACAGCACGTAACACAGGAATTACAGGTACTATTCTACTACACATGTCGGGAGACCAGTATGTAGCTTAGATCATGTAGCGGCTGAACCTTTGTTTCACCGGGAAAGATTTCTGGAGGAAATATTCTCCATAAGACGACGTGTTCGTCGACGCCGGATCTCTCCATTTCGAGCAGGAGGAACACTGCCACCTCTCGAGTTAAAAAGTACTTCACTACCGGGACTATGGCCATAATTGTTGGCATTGACGGACACATCAATCAATCAATCAATCAATCCAGTTTATTGTTGTAACAAATATATTGAACATCTTTGCTCCCTGGGCGAGCGATTTCATCGCGACGTGTCGTCGGTGGCGGTGTCCGCGGCCGCTGCTGCCAACTGTCGCTGCATCCACGAGTTGCCACACTGCGGGTCGGTCGGCTCGCCGCGCCACCACCGCTCCACGTCCGCGTACCTGCCCAACAGTTGCCACCACTGCACGAGAAGAAGAATCACGAAGAAGGTTATTTCGCGTTTACGGGCACGTCAACTGGTATTGCCGTTGGTGCCGCAAGTGTCGTGCATGCATTTATCACCGGGAGGGGTGTTCTTTTCCAGTTGGATGGTCACATCCAGCGTCGATCTACACGACGGCTTGCGATAATTATCCCCAACCAGGGATCTCTCACGGACGAGCTCTAAGCTCGCGACTGGTTTCCCGATATGTGTGGCAGTGTAGTGCCTGTTAGTGCAAGCGAGTGTTAGTAACGGATGAGGAAAGGACAAGGAAGAGGAAGGAAAGATCGCGTGCGGTCCGTGGCCCGTTTGTTAGACTGCTGCTCCGGCGTTCACCTGATGTCGATCGAAGAAATTACTAAAAACTATCTATAATTTATTATTATATATACCGTGTCCTTTACGTACTGTAAACACACGCATGCACTACACTTACGGGACTAACGACCACATCATTTGTCATTTGCCTTGAAACATTAATCACCGAGCGGCGTCAAGGCCTTCTTTACGCTGTACAATTTTCGCGCAGATTCTCACACAGAAACTGAACAGAAACTTCAAGATCCCTAGCTACAACAATCAATCAATCAATCAATCAAACGAAGCGTTACTAATTTCTATGATTTCTACTAATGAGGCTGCTCACTGCTTGGGCGGGAGGCGCGCGTGCAGCATGGCGCACAGGCGGCACAGCCCGTCGCCGGTGTTGCTGCGCGAGCGGTAGTGGCGTTTCCACCAGAAGAACTTGGCGTACTCGCTGCGCCGGCGCGCCAGCAGGTGCAGGTAGCGCGCCAGGCGGCGCGGCGACGCGAAGTCGCGGGCGTCCACGTAGGAGTGCGGCGGCGCGATGGCGCTGTAGTTGGCGCCGCCCAGCACCACCGGCACCAGCGGCAGTTGCAGGCTGTCGAACAGCTTCTCCGTCGCGTAGTCCCTGTAGGAGGAC